CCCCTTTGATATTTTCCATGTATACTGTGTAGTGAGTGTAGTAGTGTCAGAAAGTATCTCTTGTTCAGTGACTAAATAAAACCTTTTATGTTCTGTGATGCAGTTGTGTATTGACAGATATTTATATTTATGCAAGTACAGATATCATTTACAGACAGCAGGAATTGCTAATTGCTCTAGAGAAGTTGATGTTGAATATGTTATTAGAATGTACTGAGAGTATAACATTTTTTTTAAAATTTATTTGCTGATGATAGCAGAAATAACATAACAATGTCCTAACTTTTATAATTATAAAGATCTGTCATGTATATTTCATTTGATTATGTTACTGTGTAAGTATCATGTTAGTATTCCAGAAAATTATGAAAAGTAAAATTATTTATATAATAGTAATTTAGATTGTTACCAGGTATGTACACTGTTCATTTGATTTAGTTTTATTAATTTAGTTTTGGTTGCATATGAAGGCCTCTACATGTGCTTACCAAGAAGTCAATTAATAGGCCTCCTTGTTTTACCTGTTTGCTCCTTTCCTTGAATTATTTTGAAAAAGTCTTTTACTGTTGTAATTATAATATCTATTAATGTTATCCTTTTTATTACCATCATTATAATGCTATTAATAATAGTAATAGTAATGATAATAGAAATCTTTCAGAAAAATTAAAAGTAAGTTATAAAAGTAATATCATCTAGGTATAGTAATTGAAGATTTTGATGACGATGCAGCTCCGGAGCTATCTATGTGTCAACAAAATGAAAAAACAAAGATATAATTGACAGTGCATGACCTGCAGCTCAGTTAATTCAATTAAATCTTGGCAATGCACTCCATGGCAGTTTATTGTGAAATAAAGAAGTAGGATGAATATTCAGAAAATGACCGTATATCTGCCAGTGGCTTCCCAGTGGTTAGTGAATGCTCGATTCGGTGTCTCTGATTATTGGACTTCTATGTGTAAGCTTTTGATGTTCAAGTGGATTTGAATAGAAAACATTCCATATGATTATGATAAAGAAAGCCTTGATATAAAAGCCATAGTCTGATTTCAGTCTTGCCAAAATATGGTAGGTGGAATTTGGTCAGCCTTTGCTATAATGCCAATAGGGAGGGAGGCTGTAGTGATTACCACACATTGCACCACTTTGCTTGTTTGCCGAGACTGTATTAAGCGAGGAAAAATAGTTCTTCAAACACAGGCTTACAGCTTGTTTATGCAGAGCCAAGAGTAGAGAGTGGGGTGATTTTGTTTCCTGTGCTTCTGATTTTTCCCTTCATATGCAACCTGATGCAAAATATGGTGTGGCACATATTTTACAACTACCTTTTTGATGTAGGTGATAAGTGCATCAGCTTTTTATAAGTAAATGTGGTCTTGGACTATTGTTAAAGGTGCCTCTGTACTTATGATTAATGTTACACTTTTTACTAATTAGGATAACTGACACTTTGAAAGAGTAGTGGAATAAATCCTCCTAGCTAAAACAAGAAAGGATAAGCCTAATATACCATTCCTAGGAAAGTTAGATAGATTTTATACTGTAATACAGTATTTCAAAATTGTTTTAAAAATTAGAAATCTAAAAATAAATTTTGTGCAGACAAATTTTTGTCATAGTTTGAAGAGTATTGTCTTACATACCCGATGATGTATGTCTGATCTAGATGCATTGCCTGGTTAGCCCACAGTATCTCTCAAAAGATAGGAAAATTATGGGATACCCATTTTGGCTACGACTGGTAAATCTGTAATGTGGGTTAGGGGTGGGAATGGGCTGACAAAGAAGATGTGATTTGTGTCTCTTACTATCAAATATCTATAAACCATTGAATACATAAGTCTGAATATAGGCTAAGCACTGCTGGAATATGGTGGGCGTGAGTGAGTGGCCAAAGGACAAGAAGGCATGATTTTCTATAAAGAGATGTGCCTGTTGTCTTGATGATATAGATACATACAAGACGATGAAAAGCCAAAGTACAGGTTACGTACTGAAAGTTTGGGATGGTCAGTGGTAGACGCTTTGGATTGAGCAGTTGAGGGACAAGTCATGGAGATGCTGTGTGAGACAAGGTTTGCTATGTCTCTTGCTGACATTAGGGAGGGGCTTAGGATGATTGAGTAGCAATAGATAACTAAAAAGGAGGCTTAAAATGATGTAGAGATTTCTAAAACTAGAGAAAATAGCATTTTTGCAGCTGCAGTGGATTAACCCATTGCCGCCGGGGAAAATTAACAAAAAATGGGGGAAATGCAGTACTCATTTTTTATATTTTTGTGAAATATCTCTGTCCATAGATGGCTCTGCTAGTCCTGATTTCACCTTTCCTTGAATTGGCGGGAAAAAACGTATTCTTACTAGTGCTATAAATATAGATGGTGTTATTTTTTCGTAAATCGATGAAAAGGGTGAACAGGCAAGACAGGCAGTTTCTCGTAATTGGCTCATTGGTGACTTAGTACAAGTGTAGCCATATATGTGTAAAAGCAATCGA